TGAAAATGGCCATACTTCCAACACTGTTATACAGATTTAATATAATCCTGATTAAAAATCAATATGTATGTCACGGAACTACAGAAAACAATTGTAAAATTTGTTTAGAATCAGAAGAGACCTAGAATAGCAAAAAAATTCTGAACAACAAAGGCAAGACATAAGACATCACAATCTCCAAATTATTTATATACTATAAAGCTACTGTAATAAAAATAGCATGGTACTGGCAAAAAAAAAAAACAGACCTGAGGGTTAATAGAACACAATGGAAGATTCAGAAACAATTTCTTATCTTCCTAGCTACCTTGTCTTTCACAAGGGGGCCAAACTGGAAAGAAGATAGCCTCTTTAGTGCTGGAAAAACTAGCTTTCCTCATGCCAAAGATTAAACCTAGACCAGTGTTTCTCATCACTAACTAAAATCAAAATGGATCAAAGATCTAAATATTAAAACAAGCACTTAATCTGCTGAAAGAATAGGTAATTCTTGAAGACACAGACACAAGCAAAGACTATGAATAAAACCTTGATTGTATAGAAAACATCACAATGAATCAAAAACTGGGATCACATATGAAAAAGCTGATTTGTTTTGTTTTGCTTTGTTTTTGGTCTTTTTGAGACAGTTTTATTACACAGCAGTTCAGGCTGGCCTTGAACTCACTGTGTAGCCTAGGCTGGCCTTGCAGCAATCTGCCTGCCTCAGCCTATCATCTCAACCTTCTACTTGCTGGATTATAGCTGTGCACCACCACACCCAGCCTAAAAAGCTTCTGAATAATAAAAGAAACCACCAATATAGTGAACAAACATTTAACAGAATGAGGAAAAAATTCAACTATTCTTCAGAAAATGTACTAATATCTAGAATATATAAAGAACTAAAAAAAAAAAAAAAAAAAAAAAAACCAGATCCTTCATATTTAAAGACCCAATACAAGCCTGGGCATATAAAATGAATAGACATTTCTTAAATGAAGAAGGACAAATGGTAAATGTATTTAAAAATATTCAATATCACTGACTGTTGGTTACTTTGCTCTCATTGATGGGACAAAATACCTAATACTCAAAGTTAAAGAAAGGTCTATTTAGCTCACCATTTGTAAAGGCTTCAGTCCATAACCAGCTGTCATCAAGACAGGGTGGTCATGGCAGAGGACAGAAGTTCATGGTGGCAGAAAACAACAAAACAAAAGGAAAAGAACATGTGAGAGAAGACTTTGTGTCCCTTGTATTGTATGTAGGCCAGCCCCATCTTAGGTAGCACTCACTCTCATAATCCCAGCACTGGACCACATATCACTCACAAATTCTATAAGTCTGGCTCTATGACTACATGAGGCTTAGGGGGAACATTCAGACAAACTATAACATTCTGCCCTTCACTCCCTAAAGACTCATGCACATTCCTTTAAGCAAAAGGTAGACCCCATCTGCAAGAAGTGCCAAGGTCCTATCAGTGACAGCATCGCTGAAAAGTCCAAGTCCTCTGAGATTTCAGTTTCCTCTGAGATTTAAGGCAAACTTTTAGCCATGGGCCCCTGTACAAATGAAAAGAAAGTTAACATTTCCAAAATTCAATTGGACAAGATAAACATTACCATTCCAAAGGATACAAATGGGAATACAAAGGAATGGAACCAAAGAAAGTCCAGTATCCAGCAGGGCAAACATTAAGTCTGATAGCTCCATGTGGAACATCCAAGGCAATCTGTGGTAAATTGTGAGATCCAAAAGGCTCAGCCCTAGGGCACTTCCAGTGGTTGTAGCTTCCAAGGGCTTCTCTCTTAGGCCTGTTCTGCTCAATCCTTGTAGCTTTCCTTAGATAATCCACATTCCTAGCTTTTCCAAACTTCTGGGGTTTCCACTGCACCTTTGGCTTCATCCTCACTTCACACACGGCACAATACCTGGGCTCTCAGGCCCTCTGAAATCAAGGTGGAAGCCTTTTAAACCTAGCACCAGATGGATGATGCCAAGTTCTGCTGCCAGCTGAAGCAGTAGTCAGGCATCCTTCTCTATTGGCTGTAGGAGTTGAGTGACTGGATCACTGAGCACTCTGAACCTGATTCTGAGGAAAAAATTCTCTGTGTCACTGCCATTCTGGAACCTGGTGTAGCTACCATCATCATTCTGGAACACAGTGTGGCTGCTACCATTCTGGAACATGGTGCTCGGTGGTTTTATTCTCAGCAAAGTTTTTCACTTTTACAGTTTTGAGGTTACAAAGGGTAGAGACTGTTTCTTGTAATGCTCTCAGGCAATCTTTTATATTCTCCTGTTCCTTCTCAGCAATCAAGATCTCAGTTCTATTTTTGCAGTCCACAGCTTTACTAGGGCTTCCTCTCTGGCCAAACTCACATTTTAAATCATCCTACTGAAGAATGGGGGTTTAGCTCAGCGGCATAAGTGCCTGCTTGGCAAACGCAAGGTTATGAGTTCAATCTTTGGGACAAGAAAAATCCTCCTACTGGGCTCTTTGCTCTTGATTTGCAACATAGACCTGGCTAAGCCCCTCAACAGCAGCGATGCCACCATCTCAAATTAGACTGCTTTCAAGTTTCTTTTGCCAGATTAATTAGTCTACCACCCCTAATCTCAGTAGCAGGCAAAGTTTCTGGACAAGGCAAAACGTAGACAAACTTTCTGCCAAGCCATAACCTATATTGTCTGAACTCCAAAAACCAATGCAATTCTCCCCAGCAGAAAGCTTTGTCTTTCCCGGCAGCATTTCTATCAGAAATCAGAATCTCCCATACAGAACAGTCTAAGGTGTTTCAGCTTTAATCCTTCAGGTGACATCTCCAAATTCTTCCCACAAACCATTCTAAAAAGCTCTGGAACCACATAGTCAAGTATAATCAGAGTAACAACCCAACTTCTCTAGTACCAAATTCTGGGTTGGTTACTTTTCCCTCACTGCTGAGACAAACTATCTGATGCTGAAGATTAAGGAAGGAAAGGTTTATTTAGCTCAGGTTAGAGCCATGATCAGGTGGCTCCAAGGCAGGGTGGCATGCAGAGGAGCACCAGTTCATAACATTGGCAAATACAAAAAGCAGCAAGAACAAAAGGGGAGGAATATGTGAGAAGTCTTTTTCTGTCCTTTACATTGTATGTAGGCCACACCCACTTTAGGGAGGGGTATAGCACTCACACCCATAATCCCAGCATTGGACCATGCACAAACTCTAGAAGCCTGCCCCCATGATTACATGAGGCTTTGGGAGGACATCTCAACACAAACTGTAACACTGACCATTTGAGAAATGCAAATTAAAACAACACTGAGATTCCATCTCATGCCAAAAAAAATGGCTATCAGCAAGAAATCAACCAATAACAAACGCTGGCAAGACTGTGGGAAAAAAGGAGCCTTTTTCCACTGTTGATGGGAATGTAGACTGGTACAACCAACATGGAAATCACTATGGAGATTCCTCTACAACTAGAGCTCCCATTTGATCCAGCTACCTCCTAGAAGATATTCTAGGTATCTTTTTGAAACAGTTAAAAGCATCATACCACAGCAATATCTGCACATATTTACTGCAGCACAATTTTTAATAGGTAAATCATGGAAACAGCGCAAGTGCCCATCAATGGATGAATGCATAAAGAAAATGTGGATTCATATGCAGTGGAGTACTATTCTGCCATAAAAAAGGATAAACTTGAGACATTTTAAGGTAAATAGATGCTCCTTGAGAACATAATTTTAAGTGAAATAAATCCAACATTCCTGTTTAAATATCACATTGTTTTTATGAGAGAAACTGAAAGGATAAATAAGGACCAAAATGGATGATACATATTAGGAAGTGAACAAATGCTCAAAGGGAGGAAAACAAAGAAGGGGGACGAGGTGGGAAGGCAGCAAATAGGGATTTAAAAAAAGGAAAAAACTGTAAAGAAAATAATAGAAACAAAGTTTTGTAAAGTAGAAAAAGGGTTGAAGGAGAACGAAAAAATTAAGATATGTACACATACAAATTTCCAGTGATGTAATTGCTATGCATATCAGAAGCACACCAACAAAATTAATTTTTAGAAAAATAAAAAATACCATGGTAAGGCCTGTTTTAGGCCTGTCTCCTGAGATATGCTTGTCCTACAATGAGGGAATTGACAGTGTGGACTGTCAGGGAAGCAGGAGTGGGATTAGACAGCACAGGCCCAAAAACACAGGAGACTCTTCCCAACCCAATGCCCAAGGCAGGGGTAGGGGGGCATTTGGGCTGGGTGCATGCTTCTCCAGCAATGTAGCTTCTCCTTTTCTGTCTTCTACCCATGCCCACAAGGTAGTCCACTGACCAAGGGCACTCTTCTTCTCTCAAGTACCACCATCCACCTGAGCCAAGAAGAGGGCATTTCTTTCCAAGGACAGTGTTCCACATAGGCTTCAGTGTATGAGCATCTACTGAGCCAGCCCTGCCACCCACATCTGCAGACCTGAAGCTGGAGGCACTCTAAATTTAGGCTAGGGATAGCTGTCCCCAAATTGTAAAACATGTCTGTGGGTGGCAGCTCTCTAGCTAGACTCTATACTCTCCTGCCATTTGCTAGTGCTTACAAAGTTGTAAGGGGACAAATGTGGTTACAGTGATCTATAACCTCTCATTGAGCTTACAACTAACAAACAAGGAAATAAATGAGTACCATTCAGAATGACATGAAAACCAAAGTGCAAACATGACAGAATGTGTGTACTGGAGGGGTATCTTCCTTAAGTCTAGAAGCCTCTCTGAAAATGGAACCGGACAAACCAACACTGTACAATTCTGGGGAAAGACACGGAAGACAAAGAGTGACAAACACAAGCATCTGCAGACAGATCAAGTGGAGGCCTGCACAGCCTGTGCTGCTCAACTCCAGCACAAGACCCCAGGGAGGCAGTACAGAGTGAGCCAAAGTGAGGCAGGAACCCACGGCCACGCCGCTGCTGCTGTCATACACTGTAACACCTCAGGAGTATGGGAGAAAATAAGCAAAGAAAGGATATATGCTTTTTATTCAGGTGTAGTTCTCACCGATAAAATGAAAGGCTTAGCTTTTTAAACTCCAATATAAAATACAGACTACAAGTTACCATCATGCTTTTTTAACAAAAAGAAAAGTTATCATACACAAAATCTGTCACTGCATTTTAAGGTTTAAAAGTAAAGTTAGTATCTAAGTAAGGACTACACATGGAAACAAACTTTTTCATAGTTCAATTTTAAATTATTCTTATTCAGTAAGATATACGTAACGCTGAAGACAAAGTTGTAAATTCAGTATTTTTTCTCCCTACTGATTCAGAAAGATCAGTCTCTGGTTAATAGAAAATGACAAATTTCAGATGCAACTATTTCAAAATTTTCCACAAATTTAAAAGCCACATCCTGCAGTATTCAAACAACTTCACTGAAATTCAGCTTCTAGCAAATGCTGAAAACAACAACTGATCCAGACTCCAAAGGGACAGAATTAGAGGGCTGTAAAAAGCGGCAATGCAGTTTGGAGCAAGCACAGATCCCACTTCACACAGTGCTCTTTCCTGGGACCTGAAAAGCCAATGGCGATAGATCTGGGCCACAGAGTGAGGGCAGAAGTACTTGGGGGCTTCCACGCTGCTTGGCCCATTTTCTGTCCTACTTCCTCTTGAGGCTTATAGCTCAGTTTCACTAAGCCAGATTCTAATGTCAGATAGCCTTAATTCTTACTCAGTTTTCATTTCCTCTACATTTTAGGGCCCAAAAATATTTTTGTAATTCTTAGGTTATCTATGAAATGGAAAACTGGCATTTGGCAACCAAAGTCTGCTTGAGACTCAAGAATTATATCTAATTTGCTCTTTTATTAATAATGGTAACGTTACCAAAAAAAGTCATAATTGAAATTAAAAAGTACAAAACTTTAACATAAACATAATTTTACTTACATTTATAAGAATATACAGGTATCACTTTCAATTGTTTTTCCTAAACATTTTTAAATACTTAGCATTACAAATGTCAGTGACCTACATCACAGTAGCACAATGAATGAGACTGCTGAAAGTTCTAATATTGTCTTATTTTTAAAGGCTTACCACGAAGTTAAGTACAGTATATAAAGCTTGTTAGAATGAATTTGTATGGTCGTAGGCCATTACTATTTCATTCCAATTTGGATTTAAATATAATCATTTACAGATCTGAAATAAAAGCATTGCTTAATGGTTTCAGATGCATTTTGGTATTTAATATTTCAAGGCATCTTTACAAATAATAAATTATAAACATGAAGAGAACTATGACTAAAGCTGCTTACATGTACAACAGGAGAAATACAAGTGACCACAAACATTAAGTATTGACAATTCTATGAATTAAAAATCATAATTACTTCTGGATTTCTTTACATCAACCAAAACTAAGCACACACAGAGTACTTTAATATAACCTTAATGGTCTAACAAACCTCCCAAATGGAAGGAAATGCAAAATAAAATCGACAGCAAATTTAACTTATATCACAAACTTACAGGGTTATTTTGCTAACGACGCAGAACTTCCCTATATCAAAACATAGTAGGCAAGCCTCCGTATCCTGGACACCATGTTATGAGATGCTTTTCTCTACCAGTTCCTTCCACTATGCTGCTTCTGCCTGGAACCACTGAAACCATACAAGGACTCAGACTACTAAAAGTAATCAGAAGTGCTGCACAATCTGGGTGCCCCGTACATGAGCCTGTCACCTCAGGCCGCATGAGCCACACAGACCTGCCCTAAAGCTGAGAGGAAAGCTTCAGAGAAGAGAGTACCTGCTGCTTCATCAAGGCCAAATACTGGGCTTTCCAATCCTGTCAATGGAAAGTACACACCTCACATGAACTGGGCTGTTTTCTTATTTTTATAAGGAGTCACCTTTGAATTTGACTAGTGATTAATAGAAGAAAAACTACTATTTAACCTTTCTTGGATTTTATACAGAAATGCTATTCACTGAAGATATAGTTAGCACAGCTGCATTTTATTCATGGCTCATTATCAATGGACAGTAACCCACACACTGAAATCTGTGATCCTAACACGAGGTTAGATGACCATATGTCCATTCTGTGATTAAGTGTGTGATTACTGGAGACTAAATATTGTTTGGCTTCAAAACTGTCCTGTTTACCTGATAATGAGTCAACAGTATCCTTTCAAATATTCATGGGAATTTGGGAAATCAATCTAGATTCAAAAAAAGAACAAAGGATTATAAGAAATCTTTCTAACAATTGGTCAACAAACTGGTTGTTTTTGGAATTTTGGAAAAATTGACAAGCTAGACTGAGAGACAAGAATACAATCTGGCAGACTTTGAAAAGTTTCCATAGCACCAGCTGAGACTTGAGTTTGAAGCCATGTGTAAACACAGGAAAACAAATGCAGTGACCAAGGGGATGAAACCTTTACATGCTTCTATATAGCCATAGTCCATAGTATTTCTTAGAAGGATTCACAGCAACATTATGGATGGCTCATCACCAGTACAACAGCTATAATCATGCACCACCTGTCAGTCCTTGCTACATTTGCTACCTTTGTGGAAAATGAAGCACCTTTAAGGAGGTCAAAAGGATTTTTACTTCTGTTAGCCATATCATTCACAGGATCATGCTTGAATTTTACTGTCAGCTTGACCTTGAATTTCTTTTATGAAAAGATTGCTGCATGGATTACAAAAATGCAACTTTAACTTAATCAGAAATGAGAACAGTTTTACTTTGAAAATGTTCCTATTCCGCATTGTAAAATCTTACTTGTCCTGCTTCTATGTAGCTTTCTTTAAAGGGAAAGTTGTCGGCTATCCTGGAAAATATACACATTTGTTTAATGTATAAAGAACGTAATCCCAGAGGCTGTTTAACAGAACAATCCACCTGACCATCATGATTGGGAATGAGATTTTCACAAACACTTAGAAAGCCATTTATCTCTTGGTTTTTAATTGATGTAGACGTCAAAAGTCTCAGACCAATGTGCAGAAAGTATATAGTCACTGAGAGCAGAATCATCACCTTGAAAGTTTTGGACAACTTGGGTTCTTCTGTGAGTACTTAGAAACAGTTTGGATTTGTCATACTATTTGTGGCTCTTTTCCTTTGGTTCTTTTTACTATCTTAAATAGTAATTTGTAAAGATCCAAGTAGATGCCTGGAAACTTGCTACTCATTAAAGGAGACTTGTGGCTACTAAAGCTCATTGCATAGGTATTTAGCAAGACATTCTTTCTAGAATGGTTGCCCATTGTGTTGCAACTAATGCCTTTACTACTACATTTGTATCAGACATAATTCCCTGTTTATTCCTATGCCTACTCAACAAATATCACACCGCTTTTGAATGGACGCATCAATGACAACTTGTCAATATTCTTTATAGCTGATTTTCCAAACCATACTACACTTTTGGATAAATGAGACTTCACCACTTGCAGGTGTACAGATTATAGAAATCCTTTTGGAGATGAGAATAAATACATTTATAATACGCAATTCCAGCATGCTCCTGCTTCTAAAGTGGGATTCATCAAAATTATCGAACACACTGTGTTTCTGGTCATATTTTGGTAGGCCTAGATGATACGTGCAATGGATAGACTGGTATGAGAAAAGCAAATGACTATCAGGATTCTCTATCATTTTAAGCTCAACAAACTAAAACCGAACTTGGACTTAAATCTGAAAGATTTACTAAACATGTCCTGATTAAAGAAACTAAAATACAACTGGCTAAACAATTTAATCAGTGTAATGAACAAGCATTTGGTTGCTTTCTTTTTTCTTTAAATTGAGGGCCAGAGGCCAGAAATCATGTGTCACTTTTCCTTTATTTTAATGCAAATTTTTATATACTTTCAAGAAGCCAATTTTGTGGGGCTGAAAGAATACCACTTATCTGCACCATCCTCTGTGTCCTAGCCAAGTACTGTTTCCTGAAGTCTTATAATGATTGTTGAAAGCCATGCAGAATCAGAATATGGGAAGTCATGCCATGTTGCAGTTTAAAAGGAAACACTGGACTTGGACTCTCTCCTCATTTCCAGGGCATCTGCACATTTTTATGCTCTTTTACTGCATTACTTTTATCTTCTCATCAAGAAAAATGTTACAGAAAGGAAGTAAAGAGGCCTTCTGAGTCATAAAAATCCTGACATTCAAATGAAAAACAAAAATCATGTAACACAAAAAAATTCACATAGTAAAGTACATTGAATATTGAAAAAAAAAAAAAGCACTATGTAGGTAAGTTTTGCTATAAGATGGCTGAAACTATGGTTCTCACAGATCACTGTGTATCAGTAGCCACACACTTGCAGAGATGCGCAAACCTATAGCTTTGCAAACCTATAGCTTCACTTATACCTTTCATTCATAAAATTATTTGTGCTTAGGACCAAACCGAGGGCCTCTACTAGTGCTAAATTCCCAGCCAAACCTTTCATGATTTGTTTTTTTTGGTACCAGAGTTCAGACTCATGACCTTGTACTTGCCAGGTAGGCGCTTATGCCACTGAGCTAAATCCCAAGCCCCACCTTTCATGATCTTAAACACTGATGTTTTCAAGTTAGAAAATTAATATCCACAGAAATAGAGCCTAACCAAATTAAGAATATTAATTCTTCCACACATGGGCTCATACAGGACACATTTTGTTTAGTAAAATGGAAAGTTATTTAAAAAAAAAAAAATCTGCAGTCTTTTTGCAGTGCAAGGCACCAATAGGGCGCAAACTTTCCAGCAAAGATTGATTGTCCAAAACACCAAAATGGAATTGATGAGTCCTTTGTTAATTAGAATACTTCCTCTTCATGTCTATGCCACATCTTCCAAATAATCCGCAATGTCACTGAGCTGGGAAACAGTGAAGTCTTGCGTGAGGTCATCAAGCTTTTTTGTTCAAAAGAAAGAAAAAAATCAGTGTCAGAATGCAAGTGGAGTCCAAAGTGATTTTTAAAATATATTGCTACTTATATAATTTAAATATTTTATATTCTACAACTGATTCTTATTTAAAATTCATAAAATAGGTGGAAAAACTAAAGTGCTGAGAAGAGATTTGCTCAAAAGCCTATGTATGGCCAAAATAACAGTGCAGCCTTCTGAGTTCAATGCTTTATCCTGAATTTACTCTTCAATATTACAAGTGAAAATTGAAAATAAAGCAAACAACTTCCCATTTTGATTTAATCTAAGAAACTGAAATTCGTGGGAAACTTCATAAAAAGTTTATTTGAGCACAATTCCAACTTGTGATTGTGTTCATGGCAAATATGTTTGTATGGATCATCCCCAACTATCTAAAAACATATTTACTGACATTAAACTTTAGTAAAATTAATTAAAACATGCAATATTTCATTTGAAAGCTATTTCATATATTTTATATGATGCTATAAAATATTAGATTCATAATATCAAATTGAAAACATAGCAAGACATCCTTCCACACTGTCCACAACGCTGGCGTGGTCAGCCTCTTGGATGCTGATATGAAACAGATGGGCTGACAAGACAGCCCGTAAGAGTTGCAGACTTGGCCTTAGGCTCACCAGTGTTATAGACTTGAGTGATTTTTGTATCTGTTTACACTACATAAAACTAGGAAGTTAATTTATATTAGCCAAAATATTTCATATCTATATGCCTCTAAAACTGATGACAGAAAAAGCAACTAGACATATAAAGGTAATAGCATCAAAAAACAAAAACCAACACTGTTATTAAAGTAATTGAAAAGTAAGTGTCAAGACTTAGGCTTCCAAATACAGAAAATATACAGGACGGTGCCAGTGACATATGAAGAAAAACAAAGTCCAAACTTTTCAGCCTCTCCTAGATACATTTTTGAGTAAATTGGCTACCTCATCCTGACTGGACTACAAGACACAGGCACACCCACTTGCATTACGTATTACCTCTAGCCATTTTCTCAGTAAAATGGCAAAGTTGAGTTTGCCATAACAAAAAATTCAATAGAAAAAAAAAAGCCTACAAAAAATGAGCAACAAACCTTAATACCATCTCTCAAAAGAAAACATACAAATGACCAAAAGGATATAAAAAATGCTCACATTAATAATCAATGGAAATACAAATCAAAACCACAGTATCACCTCACTCCAGTAACATGGGCTATTATCCAAAAGACATAAGATAACAAGTACTGGCCAACGTGTCGGGGAAAAGGAGCCCATGTACACTGCTGATGGGAATATAAATTAGTACAGCTGCTACAGAAAGCATGGAGGCTCTCCCTCAAAATTAACAGAACAACCCTAAGATCCAGTAATCTCCCTCCTGGGTATATATCTAAAAGAAACAAAATCAATATGTCAAAGAGATAATCCGCACTCCCGCTTTTATTACAGCTAGTCAGAACAGCCAAGAAACATAAACCACGTAAGCACCCATGAGCTGATAAATGGATAAAGAAAATACGTAATACATGTAAATGCATACTATTCAGTCATTAAAAGAAAAAAGAACAAAATGCTGTCATTTGTAATACAGATAGAACTTGAGATCATTACATTAAGCAAAATGAACAAGGCACAGAAAGACAAGTACCTTATGACTTTACTCATATGTAGAAGCTAAAAAAGTTGCTCTTACACAAGCTGAGAGTAGAACAGTGGTTATGAGACTGAAAGAGCAGCGAGGAAGGGAGATTTGAAAAGAGGCTGATAAAAAGGTACTAAGTTACAGTTAGATGCCAGAAAAAAGTTCTGTTGGGCCACTACTGCACAGGAAGCAAATACAGCAAATGGTAAGGCTCTATGTATTTTAAAAGCTGCAAGAAAGGAATTTGAATGTGTCTACCATAAAGAAATGATAAATGGGAGGTAATCTTAACTGATAAATTACACCATGTCTACATGTACCAAAACATCACAGACTGAGGGTGTAGCTCAGGGGTCCAGTACTTGCTTAGCCTTGCAAGGCCATGGATTTGATCCCCAGCAACAAAGAAAAGATCACATGGCACCACATAATGTTTTATGTATTTAATTTTAAACTAAATTTAAATTAAAAAGAAAAAAAGACTACAGTTAACAACCAGAAACTTCCAGAGGAAAATAACCAAATTTAAAATAGTTATAAATAAAGGAAAATGCATAAACAAAGGCTAACTAAAAACAAATGGCGATTTAATAGAAAGGTTTTCAGATTTCATTAATTTTAGAATTAGAATTGAAAAGTCCTCATTTTAGTTCAAAACTATAAAAATAGATTTTTCATGTCACAAAATAAAAATATATAGATATGTTTTAAGCCCTAAAAAGGAAATAGTAGATCTCTGTGATAGAAGCTTAACACAAAAAAACAGCATAGGGCCCTTCACAAGTCTTTGAAAGGCTTCGAAAGTACCAACACCAATGTGCTTGCTGTGCATTCAACTGGAACCTGAGCACACATCCCTGCTGTCTCAGGACAGCAGGCCTGTTCCCTTAGCATCCATCTGTGCCCCTGGGCTTCCTCCTACTCCTGTGCACACTCGCCTCCCCAGGGCCTTTGCTCCTGTTCACTCTGTCACTCTGGACCCAATCCCAGCTTCCAAGAACCCCACTCTTTCTACCATGGTGCATCTCTTCACTCTCTGCCTCTAAGGGAGCCCTGGTATCAAATACATGTCCTCTGTCACCAGTCCTGTGGTATTCAGCATACTGTTCCCCCAACACACAACCAGCTCTAATGTTCCTGCTTCTGAATTCTCATGTTATAGTACTTGTCGCTTCCTAGGTTGAGTTTTGTTGTTGTTGTTTGTTTTTGAGACAGGTCTCACTATGTAGTTTAGGTTGGCCTCAAACTCACAGCGATCCTGCGTCAGCCTCTTCAGTGCTGGGATTACAGGTATGTGCCACTATACCCAGTCCTACCCTGGGTTTTTATACATTATGTATGTGACTTTTCTTCCTGATGCTATGTGAATTTAAGGAAAGCAGTCTATTTCTTGATTAAGGCTGTAAAGGAAGTTAAGACTTATAGCTACCATTTAGTGAATGACTATTCTGCTAAGTACTGAGCTACATGCAATACATGCTAATCTCTTAATGCTTACAATAACTTACTTGCAAAAGATATGAAAAAGATAACACCCAAAAAGTTAAATAACTTGCCCAAATTTGCAAGTCAAGTGGTAGCTCCAAGACGCAAATCCAGATCTGCTGCACTTGCAATCTTGGCTACTCCAGTCCTATCTCCTTTCTTCAAGCCCACATTCCTAGAATCATGCTTTCTAAATTGTGCCAGTATATGCGTAACAGATACTGGTTTGGATCACCTTGACTAATGGCTCTACTACAGCGAAACATGTATTTTTGGGGGACGGGGGATTTAGCTCAGCAGTATAGGCACCTGTCCGGCAGGCATGAGGTTGTGAGTTCGATCTCTGATACCAAAAAAAAAAAAAATTTTATCCTTCTGGTGCCCATAATTCTCTTCACAGAATCGTTTAAAAATATCATGTAATGAAGGATAACTATCAGTTATCTACTACATACAAAAAAGCTGCTAATAAATGGCACAATTATATGAAGTTATGCTTATAGGTGAGAATTCCTAGGGAATATGTATGTGGCAAACTCAGTGCTTACAATTTCCTCTTCTACCCACTCTGACTCACAAACTATGACAACAGTAATTTGAGTCCTTGCATTATTATCCCTATTTTGAAATATGTGAATATCAAAAAGTTGAGGTATAAGCTGACCTCTACATTAACTCCATCAAGAAAATGCCTGAATTCTCTATAGTTTCTTTGGTAGAATTACAGAGCAACATTTTTAGGTCTTTTATGGATGACATAGGGTAAAACGGTAAAGATTACTTAAGTCTGGGTTAGAAAAGATAACTTCACATAATACTAACACTTGGCCTTTAAAATAATACTATTAGATAGGTATGAATACTTCCACCTTATGAATAAAGAAGGTGGGATTAAAGGTTAAAACTTAGCTAAGAAACCATAATACCTAAAAGAATAAGAAAGTAAACTGTATTGTGCTGATTCCAATTGTGTTGCTTCACTGCAAACTGTGATCTCTCCAAAGGCCCTCTCCCAGTGTAACAATCCCAGCACCTGTGTAAGCCAAACTCATTCAGGAAAGCAGCAGGAGCCTCCTACATACAGCCCCTGACATGAAAGGCAGGTCACCTGAGCTGTGGACAGTTGGTTATGTGGACAGAGACATGATACTGAGATGTCACAGGTCATCATCAAAGTATGCTTTCTTCTCTGCAGCATGAAAAGATCCAAGTTGGACCTCCAACGTGGACTCCTAATTTTAGAACCTGAGCACTCCCAGTGTGCCTTTGCTGCTTGCCACTGCAGCTCTCATCTGGCCCTCCCCCACTGAAGTGTCACAATTGGCCCTGAGGTGACCACATGTTCTACACGACTTCTGGCTACAACTTTTGGACACACAAATTAAGACTCCAATCCAGATTGTGTTTTCCTAAGCCAGCAGCAAGACCAGTGTCCCTGTAACAATATGCCAGAAGCACTCAAGTACAACGTAAGTGACACTAAAATAATTTTACATATTCAGTAAAGACTTTCTTCACAGATTGGGACCAACCAGGTAACTCTGTAATGAATTTTCAACAGTTTTTCTACTAATTGGTATAAATTTCAAAAGCTTCACAGTAAATTAACAAACAAGCATTTTATGAGAAACGTGTAACACCATACTTTGTCACTGGTATTGATGTCATCTACTCCCACAGAAAGATCTTCTTCAATCTCTTCACCAATACTTAGCTCACTTTTTTCTGAGCGATGAGTGGCACTAATTACAAGGGGAAAAAAAGAAAGAAGATCTCTGAAAATAACTACTGTTCTTCGTATTTTCAGATCTTTTGAGTAAAATACATTAAATATTATCAATTTTATATCATCTCATTTGACCTTAAAATAACTTAGTAAGGGCAGCAGCAATAATCAAGTCAATCTAGCAGATCAAAAAACTGAGGTTCTATGGTAACACTAAATACACTAGCAAGAAAAAAAAACCCCAAAAGTTCTAAAATGTCCACTACATATTATGTTTCCAAACAACTATACAATAAATCACCCTCTAAAATACTAATTTCCAATTGGAAATAAAACTCAAAATTCTCAGACACCTAATTTAAAATTTCTAATCATCCTCACAACAAATATTACTACCACATTAGTAGGCAACTCACAGATTATCTTTAGATATACAAGAAGTTTATCTAACACAAAGAATGAAGAAATACCATCTGCATCAGAAAAATAATTGCAGGGGATAATTTTTTTAATGCAGGCAATCCTATGTAAAAAAAAGAAATAAAAAGAGCACTCATCATATGCCAACAGACTTGCTCCTAAATGACCTGAGTCAACTCCTCAATAATCATACAACAGAATATGTCTATATGTGAAGAACAGGCTCCAAAATATGTAATTTTCTTACCTATTAAAGTCATCAACATAGTCTTCTTCTCCAGTCCCTGGTAAATTTAAGAAAATACATTTTACATTTACATAAAATACTTCCTTAATATATCTATAATTATACATTTCCTGCCAAAACAATACATTATTACTGATTATTCTGCATCACTAAAAAAAAGTACCAAAGACCAAAAATACTTTTACTGGGCATATGAAGGTAAATGACCAAAGCTGTTACAAATGATTGTATCACATTCTAAAATGTGTTTAATGCCTTGTCTCTACTCTAGGTTCTCAGGAACATTTCCTCATGGGCACGCTCACCATTACTCTCCCTTTGCCTTAATGGAGTACAGCAGCAGCAATTCATTATCAACCCCTGGTTACCCTGTTCTGAGATAACGCAACACATTTCCACACCCAGTGACTCTGGCTCTTATTTGAAAAACAACAAGGACAGGTTTCTGTCAACATCTTTCTTCCCCATCAGAGTATGCACTCCCCAAGACAAGGCTATGCCGGTTGTTGCGACTAGCACCACCTTCACCACAACGACCCTAAACACATATAAACTGCCCGTTCACTTGCTGAATGAATAGCAGTGGTGAACAACAGTGTTCTGTGTAGGTTCATGAGTCATTTCACTAAAATGTGATCCTAAAAGATGATCACTTTAAAAACTAGAAATTTACCTAATCCAAGTGATCCAATTTTATCACTGACTAATTTCAGATCTTTCAAAACTGTGCTTCCTTTTTTACCTATAAACAGAAAGAAAATCAGCATTAAAGTCACTTTTAAACTACAACATTCTTTAAGCCACTTTATACAGTACAGTAATATGAACTAGAACTAAGAAAAACTTGCAAACTGTCATCATATAGTGCTTAAATTATGTACTTTATCCTCTTTTTTAACCAACATTACTACTCCTTACTGAAACACAACCATCAAAATAATTTTTGCCTAACTATAGAACCTTCCATAAGTAGTCTCAGAAGGCATGAATCACAGACTGTAATTACTTTTATTCTTCCTTCGAACTCCTATACTTTGCTTCCATTTAATTACTAATTTCATTTACCAAACTGATCTCTTCATTGGTTTTACTTCTTCAGTCCTCAGTTCTCGACGATTCTCTCTAAACCATCATTCTCTAAATCAGTAATATAGCCACAATATCCTGACCTCCTACCTGGAGAGTGGCATTCACCACAGAAGGGATGTGAGCCATCTAAAGGCACACACAGCTCGCCTACTAAATGTCTAAGATGCTAAATGTTTAAGATGGGAACATACCATCTGTTGTGTGTTCTAAAAACTCCCACAATTGTGTCATACAATAGAAAAATGCTAGGAAGTACCACAAAATTAAGACAAAACCCACACTGCAAATTCCTAGTGATCCTAACTGAGGAAATTTTTTCAAAAGAGGTACTCATACTCTAGACACTCTACCAATTACATGTTATGCTTACTATGATATGGAATATAGAGTTGATTATACATCTATGTGTTTAATTCTTGACATTGTCAACATCTGTGAGGTGAGGAACAAGAAAGCAAATGGTACCGCTGCTTGGCTACTGTGTCTTACTATCAATCTCTACTTTTGCTACATATAAAAAGATACATCAGATCCAAGTCCCTAAAAGTAAATATTTAACATCCCAGTAATAACTACTGTGGTGTTACAGAACAAACTTTAAAAAATCAATTGAATTTAATCCTGAATCAAGTCATTTTAAATGTTCAATAAAAGATGACTGAAAAATTATACATGTTCCTTGACCTACACTGAGTTTCATCCACCATACCAATCACAACTTGAAAGTATCGCATATCAACAATGGAATAATACCTCTTAAATACCTCTAACCTACCAAACATCACAGCTTAGCAACACAGCACCTTGCAGGGTCATCTGTTCCCTTCCTGACCCCAAGGCTGCAAGGAAGTTGTGCTGCTCTCTGCTACAGCACCACAAGAGAAGATCATGTGTACTGCTAGCCACAGAGAAAAAACAAAGCTCCAAGCTCAATGTCTATCAAATGCATACCAAAATACATACAGTTGAAAAATCTTAAGTCAAGTTGGGGATCACATGTATAATATATGTAAAGATAATAAAAATTAGCTAAAAGTCAATATCCTAAAAGTATTCTGATGGCACAGGAAAAGGCAAAACATAAAATGACACAGAATATAACATTGAAAAGAAATTTAAAATATAAAATATTAACAAGAAATGTCTGAACAATAAAAGTTTTATGATTTTCCTGAACAAAAAAAAAAACTCCAATAATAATCATATATTACTTAGAGAAAAATACCACAAATATTTAAGCTACCATCTTCAGGCACTCACTCTCAGGCTCTTTTAATGAGGGGGCTCCTGCCAGGGAGGTGAGTCCACTTCTTAAGGGGGGAGCATCCGAGATCGAGGTCAGACTTCCTGCTTGCTTCCTAGGTTCACTTCTCCTAACAGAAAGCAAGTGACAATTAAATGGTAATCTTAGATCCTGCCACTAAATATTTTATTCTTTCATTAGAACGAAAGCAATTTATATGATCAGTGGCCAGAAACAAAGAACATACATTTTATAGATTCAAAATAATACAGAAAGTATTAACTGTAATGCAATGTAGACAATTATCACAAATCTAAGCAGCAAAGTCTGTAAGTAAGAAATCAGCTCCCTCTTTTTACATTATTGCATAACTTACAAGTTAAGTTGACCTTAATATACTCCTTGTCTATGATTTCTTTGAGAAGACAGTATTCATTACCCCAAAACACAATCAAGGGACAATATGGGAGTCAACTAGCAAATAAGCACTACCTCTCAGATATACAAAGCCTCTTCAAGTCATAAGAACTAGCCTCAAGACGTTATCACTGCCCTACAATGGTACACATTGCATACGTCAGTCTCCCCTTACTTTCTTTTTTCAGTACTAGGGATTGAGCCTGATGCTTTCTCACTAAACTACATTCTTACCCCTTTTCTTTCTTTATTTTTTGAGACAGGGTCTCACCAAGTTGCTCAGGTTGGCTCAAACTTAGGATCATCCTACTTCAGCCTCCCAGCATGCTGGGATTACAAGACTGTGCCAACCATGCCTACCTTCTCTGTATTTCCTTCTACAATAATTTTACTTTCTCCGCCTCAAATCTCCATCACGCCCCCCCCCCACCATCCTCACTCACAGGAAATTCATACAATCATCTGGCCCACTTCTTGCCTATGAAGGGTCCAGCTCTCTATACTGCTGGCAAAGAAAATTCTACCAGTCTAGGAATTTCATCCTCGGCCCTTACATCTTTGAAACTAGATCCTTCTCATCAGCAACACATGTTATTTCTTTCACTTTCACACATTTCTGCACCCATAACCCATGCCTCCAACCACTACCACAATCCTCAATCCCTCTGTATCTCTGTAAAACTCATCAGAAAAATATTTATCATATACAATCCTGATCTCTCACATCTTCTTTAACCCACTCTAATCCTTTAACTGCTCCCACTTTATTCCAACAAAACTGTCAGAAGTCACTGGAGATCTCAATGCACCTAAATTCAGCAGCTAACTTTCAGAAGATGTTCCTTCCTGCTCATCTTGCTCAGCTCAAGGTGCTGGAAGGTCCATTTTCATGATGTCCTTGTCTCTCAACTATAATGTTGCTGATAACTGATGATTCCTTTATTCATTCCCCCAGCCCCAGACACTCTAATTCCTAGATCCAACAACCTAATACACATCCTCTACCAGGTCTTCTCACACATAACATGTCACAGTTCCAGATTTTCACACTACCCTGATCTTCCCAGTCTTCATCTTAACCTTCCAGTTATTTAGACTAAGAACCAAGAGCCACCTTGCATATTATGTTCTGTGGCACTGATCAGCAAATCCTTTCTGATTTAATCTCAAGTTATTTTCAAACACCATCTATTTCTCATCACTGTCACCATTATTTCTCTCTAAATAGGTTTTAAGAGTCTCCTACCTTGAAACTCTCCCATCTGCCTGGCTCAGCAGCCAGGGATCCTTCTATGCCATATGCTGGATACAGAAGACATCCAGGGCTCACAGTTTCACTCTGAGGAATCCTGTCGTCAGCTCTGGGTTCATCTTATATAAGCCTCCTCACAATTTATTGCTGTCCTCTGGCCCTTAAAATACCTTTGTATTTGTGGTCTCCTCTATACAGAGCCCTACAAATCCAGATGCTGTATGTCCTATTCTTGTCTCTGAGTTCTTAGCTCAGATAGCACCCTTACAATGAAGCACCCCAACTGAGGCTTTCCTGGACAGCCGCTGAAATATACATGCCGCCACAAGTGACAGCTCTGTGTTCTATTTTCCAACACACTATAGTGTCATTCTCATTAACTTTCTAACTTCATCCTGAGGTAAGCTTCCTGATGGTAGTTTTGCCTTTCTGCCATTATGGCATTTTGTCTCTGAAATAGTCTCTGGCTTATCTTGTGACATCAGCCACACCAGGCTTATTTAGAAACCTGGAATTGTTTTACAACCTAACAGCCTTAAATGACACAAAATCAAATTTATGGATTCAACAAGACAGAACCCTTAAGTCATTACTTTTTACATATAAAATGAAGAGAAGTTATATTTTTAAACCTCTAGTGTGACTGTTCAAGAACAGTTTACTCACCAACCATAGGTTTTTTCTGGTTTAGGAATGGGATCATCAAAGAAAGAATCTCCTTCCATATCATCATCTTCTGGACAAAGGCCAGCTTTGTCTTTGACATCTAAAGCAGTAGTGCTTAAAAAAGATCCAATTTTTGTTTCATGGGTCAGAGAGTGCAGACTGCTTTTGCTCTTTGGTTCTGATGAGGAGAGAGCTGTATCACTCTGACTGGTCTCCCTGTTGGCCTTCTAGGAAAAGAGAGAGAATAGTTCTTCATAAGAAAACTTTAAGATGTTTTAAATAACAAGTTGAGTAAACACAGGCAAATTTGTGTATGTGGTTGTACATTGCCTTGCAACAGTGCTAGCTGCAGTGTAACCTCCTGATTTACCACTTCAATCCCCAGGCTTTCTAGCACGACTAACCTGAGAAGGGAAAATTTGTTAAAGAAATATGCTTATGCCATTTCTTTTGTCCTTAAACAGAAATATCCTTAGTATGTTTAAACAACTTTCTTATTTATAAACAACTTTTCCATTTTTTTTCCATATGTATGTCATTGCTTCATATAATACCTTTTTTTGTACCAGGGATCGAACTCATGACCTCGCGCTCATCAGGCAAGCACTTGAACCGCTGACCTAAATGCTAGGTCCCATACAGTATCTTAAATAAAAGAGTTTTGAAGATCTAAATAAAATTAAAAGAGAAAAGGCAGACTATGTCATGTAAGTGTACCAAGCTTTATTTATCAGAAAAAATAGCAGTTTTCCATCCAGTGCCAAACACAACGGCCACTGAGGGGAAATACACTGCTGTCAAATGCTAGCCTTTCTAATGTAATCTAGTTATAATGGTCTTAATTCAGACTTCTTAAAGAACTCACCAACTCATACCTCACAGGTACTTACATCTATGCATCCCTTCAACCATGGTAAAGTTCTCAAGCATTCTTACCTATGCCTTATTGAAACATGGTAAAGTTTGCACAAAACAGCATATTGTATTTTTTTTGTTCTCAGTCATAAACATCAGAGCCTAATTTTATTTATTTTTTTGGTTAAATATCTGTTTTGCTCTTAGACATGTCTATATCAGTAACAACAACAAAAACTGCTAAAATCATAGCAGCAGCTAATATAATATTCATATATGATACCCTAATCTAAAAGTAAGTCTTCAGCATGGGTACTGGGTCTATTTTTTCTGCAGATATGAAAAAGAAAACACAGGGACGATTTATGTCATTTGTCAAAATCCCCTGGTAGTTAAATGGTAAAGTCAACAAAAAGTCAAAGCCTCATTCCAGAGTTTAGCCCCTAATAATTATATAGTTTTATAATTAGGTTGAACTATACAAAAAAGTGCTTTATGTAGGCTAAAAATCACAATTTCCAAAGATTCAGACTTTCATACCTAAAAGGGTACAGTTTTGTGGAAGACCCCTGTAAACATGCTAAACTGAAATAAAGAAATAGAATACGGTTTGCAATTGACTATTAACTGTATGATCTTCACTAATTTCCATAAGCATCATATTTCCTCAAAAATTAAAACTGGGTTAGTATTTTTTAAAAACAAATTCCAACTACAAATTGAGACAGAAGGGATAGGCAGCAAGGAAATAGTTAAATATAGTACCACTGAGGCAAGGTAGTAGAGTATGGGTCAGATATAATGCACGAGACAGTTGGGACTGTGATACTTTCCGTGTACAGACAGCATGCCCAGGGTCTGTACAAGATATGTACCTACTCAGAGGCCTGGACTAGGACAGAGTCAAGACATAAGTTATACAAATTTTAGAGCCTTACATGGAACTATCTGGTCCATGTTTATTTGTTTGTTTGTTTGTTTTTTGGTACCAGGGATCAAATTTCCAACTTTGCCCTTGCCAGGCAGGAGCTTATGCCACTGAGCTAAATCCCCAGCCCTATTCACATATTATTAATATGGATAAATTAGTGATCATAAAGAAATGTCTTGAAAAATATATTACCAAGTTACCCTTTTGGAACATACAAGATATTTTCAAAGAAGTAGAAAATTTTTTAAATAGGCTACCAACTTTCTTCAAGTTTTCCTGTATTATCAAGTATGGAAAAAGCATCATTAATTTATATGTTCTTAATCAGGTTTATTTCAGTTATAATTTCTGAATTATATAAACATTATAATAACCAATTTATACTTTTGCAAAGGCATCAAAGACAAATACCCTGAAGTCTTGTGGTACAACTACAGACCGTGACTCTCTCCTTCACAATACTCCTGAGAAAGTTCACAATAACTGGCATGAAGCATCTGAAGGGGGGCATAAAACAGCATCACAGGAACATTATAAATATTCCAGTATTCAGTCTTCCTCACAATTCACATTCTCAACATAACTTTAGTACGTATTATATACTAATGATTTTTTTTGACTGGTTTTAGCAATATCCCTGCTAAGAGTAAAAAGACAAATTTCATGAAGAAGGACATTATGTTCCAGCAATACATATTTTTAAAAATAATAAAATTATTTTATTCTCAACATAGTTCTTTTATCTGTGGAATAAAAACAAACCTTAAAAACAACGTGCTTTACAACTGGTCTCAAAATCAGTTTCTAAACCACTGGGACATGTGCTTTGTAACTACAGCTTATTTTTCACCAAAAATCCATTACCCAATTGTGTTAACAAAGAACCCACTAAGCTTTAATTATAAATAACTTCCACTATTAGAATAATCCAAATAAAAGCAGAAAGACATACCATCAAAACATCACAGAGATTAAACCAAAAGTACTATAAAATTTTTGGAGTAATTTCAATGAAGAAAATCTATACACAAATATGTATGTGCTAGAATCTGCTTGAAAACCTGTATCATGACTCAAGATAAGCCTTTATTTTATATACAAACCCCAATTATTTGGGTTTCCTATCACCTAAATTTGAGTAAACTAAAATTATAATTCAAGATGAAGTTAATGTTACACATACGGTTCAAAGCCAAGAAGTACAACTTGGTACCTTAGAATTTTACTCCTTGGACAGCCTCAGATTGCTATGGACTAAAATTTGATGAAAGAGAAATTCATTGAAGTCTTAACTCCTAGTATATCAAAATGTAACCTCACTTGGAAAAATGTCACTGCAGATGTATTAAAATGTGACCATACTGGAGTAGAGTAGGTCCTAAACCATGATGACCAGTATTCTCAGAAGAGAAAAAAAAGAGGATTAGGGTGCAGCTCATATGTGCTTAGCATGCCCAAAGCCCTCTGCCCTCAAAAACAAAAGAAACAGAACCACAGAGAACTACAATGTGAAGATGGAGGCAGAGCCTGGAGTTACCCATCTACAGTCAGAGAACACCAATGTCTGCAGGTTGCCCTAAAAGCAAGGACATAAAGCTCACACTCCAGTTCAAGTTCTTAGCTTCCAGCCTGTCAAACAATGGACTTCTGTTGTTTTAAGTCGCTCAATTTCTACTTTATTACAGCAGCCCTATGAAACTAATAGCTATTTCAAATAACTACTTAAGTTTTATCTTTTCATACAAGTGACAGATCTACTGCATAACACTACAACAGTCATTCAATTCCTTTGGATTGAGCTCAAGACTAGTAAGCTTTATGATAAATCAGTCATGTCTTAAAAGCTTTCTTCCTAAAGAACATTTATATAATTAAGAATTTAAGTATTTTAAAATTAATTATCAGCATGAGAGAGCAGCTTTTATAGTGAGAAACACTACTAATTCTGCAATATCCCAAAACTGTATTGTCACTAGTATGACTTAAAAGGACCCAGATTAAAGAATTTTGGTTTTCCAAAGTAAAAGCCAACCTGCCCTGTCCATAACAGGAAAAATAATCAGAGTCAAACACATTCTTCAGGTGTACAACAGTATTCAAAAGCTCTGTGCTAAGTGACTCTCTCCCCATTCACGCCTCAGCCTCCTTCCCCCACCCTGTCAAGATGGTTTTGATCCATGATTTACTATTGAAATATTAAGAGAAATAATTTTCTTACTGTTGTAACAGTTACATATATTTAAAAAGTTTAATTTGTACCTGATATGGTGGCATATCCCTAGACACAGTACTCTCGGAGGCTGAGACCAAAGAATCACAAGTTCAAACTCAGCATGAGTAACATAAGAAGCCTGTCTCAAAAAGGGTCAGAGATGCAGTTCAGCGCAAAGGGCCTACTTTCACACCTTGTACAAAAGCAAATACTACAGAATTCTATTACCTCAAAACAAACATTTAAATCTCTTCAAAAGCATAATGTTTATAGATATACCCTCTTCCTACAGTCTGTAAACAATCTAATTCCCACAGACATTCCAAAGCCCTGGCCTTCCGGCAACAAGCCCTGAGGAAAACCCATCCTCCCTTCTGCCCTCTTTCTTATCCATCACAGCTGAAAGGCTCAACAAGACAGCAGGCTAACAGGTCCACTTTCGGGCTCCTGAGGCAGGGTCTGAGTTGTGCAGGCTGAGCTGCCAGTTCCAGGAACACACACCCTCCCATCAGCCCACTTACCCAGGACAGTACGGGGTAGGGATGTAGGGCAGGGTAGGTGGTGATAATGGGAGTTAATGGGGACCCTGAAGTAGGCTAAAGACAAGCACATAAATAGTCTGAAAATGTATGCAAGACGCAATCACCATCACTATCAGGAATCAGCAGAAAATGGGCTTATTCTAGTCTTGAAAAGTACAAGCAATGAATTAAGAAATGTCACATTTTTAAGAATTTAAAGCAAAAAGTACCTTAATATACATTCATTTTAAACACCTGAAAATAAAAAAGCACACCATGATAAAAAGCACCCAATTTTAAGTATAAAAACAAAAATTAGTATCTTAGTTTTTCCAACTAAATGTTAGAGCATAACATGAATCTGTTGTTAACTTTTATATTTTTTTTTTCAGATAACTAGGAAAATGCTTGTAAAACAAAAGAAATACCACAGATGATACAGTACTTTGGAAATAAATTTTCATATGTATTTACAAATTTGTTTTTTGTTTTTTTTTTGAGGTCTAGGTCTGTAGTTTAGGGTAGACTTGAACTAGGTAGCTCCAGGGTGGTCTCAAACTTGTAGTTCCATGTAATATTTATTCTGCTTCTATTCCAAATCATCTATGTACTCTTTTGTCTCTGAACAATAAAAAAAGCAAGACCTTTTAATTTTACCCCAGTTAAATTAGTTCAAACCCCTTACAGATCAGTTTTGTAAGTTTTGTTTTATATGTGTATACATATATATAAACTCACATATCTACAAATGATTTTTAAAGTTTATCTCTAGTTTATCTAGTTTATCTCAACTACAGCTTTGCTGAAATTGCCAGCAGTCTCTGAGTAAGCCTTTAATATTTGTTGCTTTCTATATTTAAAAACAGGAAGACACATCCACATGCCTGGCTCAGGGCTTCAGAATTCCATGGTGAGTATCACCCTGGGCCCTGCTTCCATTTAAGCCCCCACACTATCCACTCCGATACAGCATACCCGTCTATGTGTACAGGGGAGAAAGGTGGGGCTCCTACATCTGCTCAAAAATTGTGAATGCCACTCCTCTACTACCCTGTGAATACCTCCCTCTAGAGTCTTGGTGGGTACAACTTCAACTGCCACACGCAACTTGCAATATTAGGGTGTTAAGAATGCTGGGAACCTGGAGCATGCAGAAGGCAAAGCAGAAAGGCAGAGGGATGAAGAGGTAAGGTAAGGTTGGACAGGTGATAATGGGTAGAAACAGATGTCTTATAAAAGCAATTTAGAAGTAAGATCAGGAAAGTAGAGGAAAAAATTTTGCAAAGTGACCGAGGAAGCATCCTGGACTTAGGAACACAACAGTGAAACACAAGGGCTCCCAACTTATAGACTAATCTCTGGGACATGGACCCCTCCAGATTCTTCCATCATCTCATACTCCCAAGCTAGGGAGACACCTGAGGTGCTGCTCAGGTGAGAACTTGGACCCACCACACCGTATTATACAACATGAAAACCTATTTTTTTTAGTGTGCTTCAGCTGTGCGTATAACTTTATTCCATTTTTAAAAGCTACAATACTGTTACAAAAACTTAGAAATATGAAATACACTTTTAACTTTTGAAAAAACTCCAAAAAAATTTGATTAAAAGAATCTAGAAGTTTTAGATTCTTATTTACTGTTCTTAATGTTGTCTCACCTCTTCAGAGTATGAACTGCTTGAGGACTGTGTTAAATATGCCTTGCCCAGTGTTAACACAATGACTTTCACTATGTAAATGTTCCAAAAATATTTAGCATAATATAACATCTTCTTGTCTAATAATGTGTAAAGAACAGTGTGAAGAGATACAGTAACAGAATTTACCTTTGAAACCATGGGAACTAAAGTCAGTTAATGCAACAAAGATAGTTTTTTAAAAACTTTTAATTTTGGAAGTGTTTGATTTATAAAACAAGATTCAACACAGAACTAATGAATCTCAAGAACTAAAAATTACATAATTTTGTTATTCAAGTAGATATAAAAACTGTATTGATAATATTTCTAAGACCTCTAATAGTTAAGTTTAATAAAGAGCTAATCTATTGGCTTAGTTTGTTTTTGTGCTCTTTAGGGGAGAAAGAAAAAGCAGCCACAGCCCTGACCACTGTGCAGGACTGATCCTTCCCGTCTGCTATGAGGAGGGGCCTGCGCAAGTCAGCAGACGTACAATGGTCTAGAAAGCGGCAGAACACAAATTAACATCTTCAGGGAAAATAAGTGTAGTCTTTTTTGGGGTGGGGGGAGTACCAGGGATTGAACTCATAACCTTGCACTTGCCAAGCAGGCGCTTGTGCCAGTAAGTGTAGTCTTTTATCAATTGAAACTTGTCGTAAAAAGTAATCTGAGGTTTAGTTTTCTTCAGATAAAAACCATAATGACAACATGTACATGATTATCTATTCAAAAGGAAAACATATTTTCAAGTCTTTTTTTATTGCCAGTAAAATTCTTAAAGTTCAATCAAAAGCGTAATTTTAGAATATAACATGGTTTTCACCTGGATAAAGCTGAAAAATTACTTTTCATTTTATGCCAGCCTGGCTTTCTTATGTCCTAATTATACAGAGGACAGGGACATTTCTAAAGAAAACCTAAAACCCAGGCCAGCAGGAGGCCCATCAATCATGGGGGTCTGTTTTGGCACAGGCTGCTTTTCTCCTTTGCCCTCATGCATGTTACCTTGTCACCAGACTTCTGCCCGCTTGTCTTCTTCTTACCTTGTCCTTTATACCTTGGTATCTGAGCATGAGAATAAAATGACATTTTACTACAAGATATAAATCCTTAAAAGTAAACTAACTCTAAAGTAATAAAAATTTCCCATTAGAAAATGTATTACAAATGGAAAATCTAATTTGTGTGTTCCTCCTGAAGCCTACTTTTCTTGTCCTTTCTTTACTGTTTCTAAAATGTTTGAGCTCACGTTAAGTCTTATTTCCAACAGGTACTAGGACAAGTGCAGATGCCCACCCACCACCTGCTTAAGCTGTACTGTATAGAAAAAGGCTTCCTTCACATTGTTTGGCAGAGATCTATAAAGGCCGTGATGGAGGGAATATCCGAGGAGCTTTGTTGAAGACTTGTTCCAACCTTACCTGACCAACCTCAGGAGTACATGAAGCTGGTTCCTAAAGGCTGGCCTGGACTCTCCCTCCCCTTGGTCACAACTTTTCAGAGTCATTCACACTCTCCATGAGCTCTCAGGAAGTAAGGAACACACAACAGGGTGGCAAAAAGTATTGAAATCACAAATTCAAATCCTTAAGAACTACATGAGAATGGCATTTTAAGTACCAAAACAGGATTTATATTAAAATAGATACCACTCCAGCCTAGCCACCAAGTTATCTAGGGTATTTCCAAAGGGGCCACTGCAATTCTAGTTTAAGGTGCATAATAAGAATCAGACTACACTGAAAATAACCAAAAGATACAGAAGTACAATGCCCCCTGGGGGACAAATACTGTCCTCTAAAACAGCCTTAAAGATTTTTTCTAGGAATTTAGAGCATCATTTTCTAACTGACTCATTCTTATCATAACTCTTAGATCTTAAAAAAATACTTATGTAGAAAGACCAAAGATACGTAAAACAGACTTAACCTTTTTCTTGAAGATAATACCTTACACAGAAAAAAATACACTTTTTTAAAAAACAAATTTGCTAAGAAAAAAACTTCCAAATACACAATACCACAAATACTGCTAAGTATTTTGGAACAGTCATTCATTAATCTTAATGTCTAATGTCATATGTTTTCTGGGGTTTTTTTTTGTTTGTTTGTCTTTTTTCGTTTTTATCGGTACCAGGGATTGAACTCACGACTGCCCGCTTGAAAGGCAAGCGCTTATGCCACTGAGCTAAATCCCCAGCCCCTTAATGTCATATATTTTCATGGAAAAATCCTTTTCTTCCTTCCATAGGCTTTTATCAGCAATTAAAGAAATTTTAAAATTTACTCTGACCTGCTCTGTATTAGAGATACAATCTTCCACAGCACCAAGGAAAAAATATTTTCAAAAACACCTTCCCTATTACAATAGGCTAAATAGAAATCTCAGAAGGAAGTAACATACTGAGAACTACAATAATATTTCTCTTCGGCTAGAAAAAGTGTAACTTTATTTGGAATTCTAAACTTAAAAAGGAGTATCATCACAGAACAAGCAAAAAAATAAATAAAATAAATCACAAGAGCAATCATTCAGCAGTCTTCTGTGCTCAGACACTTAAAAGAAAGCTATGTAGCAGTATAATTACTAACCTCCAGAAGTTCCCTGTTAAAAAGATATATCATTGTAGGTCCACCCAAAGACTAATCTCTGGAATGGACTCTACGATATCGCTCTATTCCTACAAAGAAGAAATCAAAGGAAAAGTTACAGTACACAAATCTGACCCATGAAAGACTATGTTTGTGGTCCCCTGAAATTTACATAGAAATCTCAATCCCTAAAGTAATGATATTAGGAAGTGTCACCTTTAGGCAGTGATTAGGTCCAATAAGTAGAACTCTGGTGAATGGGATTAAGGCCCTTATAAAAGAGACTCCCAACCTAGCATAGTAGCAGTCTGGGAGGCTCAAGCAGGTAAACTGCAAATTTGAGCCCAGTCAAGAGTAAAGTATCCAATGAGCAAGACCCTACCTCAAAATATAAAAGGGTTGGGGATGTAGCTTAGTGCAAAAATTCTGGATTTTATCTCCACTCTGGAGTACACCAATATTACACAAAAATATTTTTAAAAAGCTCTCCAAAGAGGTCCCTTGCCCCTTTCTACCATATGAAGATATATAGAAGACACCACCTATGAACCAAAAATCAGGCCCTGATCAGGCCCCAAATCTCCTAATGCCTTGATAATCTTGGACTTCAGTCTCTAGAACTGTGAGAAATGAATCTATTGTTTATTACCCAGTCTGTGGTATTTTATCATATCAGCCTGAAAGGAGTAAGACATGACCTAGATCCATCCTTTTACAACAAGAGCTGGTATGATCAATTCATTCTGTCTTCTATATTATAACCAGTAACCAGAGACAATTTTCCTAACAATCACCATTCATTCCTCTACTATTATGTACATATCTTTAATTTTTAATTCAAGTGTTTAATGTGACATTCTTGTTCTTTATGTTGTAGACCTGAAATCAGGTTTTACCTTTAGTAACTCAAACACACATGCACACACATTCACAAATGTTACCATAGTACATTTTTCTATAAATCCTAATAAAATGGCTATTACTATAACGTAGTATAGTAATATATTGTATATTGTATATTGTAAGCTACTAAAACGTAGCTTACAATTCCAAATCTGTTCATTTATCTAAATGCTTACAGTAGTCAAAACAATTTAACTTGGAACCTACAATTCTCAAAGTAGGAGTTTACAAAGGAAAAGTCAACCTTCTAGTTAGTAGAAGACAAAAATGTTCAAAGTACCAAGTGAATCCAAATATTTGAAAATACCAGTATTTAAGGGCATTTTTTTCTGTCATACAAAACTCAAAACACTACCAATAAAAGAACTTTTTAAAATATATATTTAGAGAAAAAAAAAAGTCCCTTTAAGAAACTAAACAAAATTTGTTACAAAACGACAAAAGATTAACAAATAAGAGCAGAGAGGAGCAAAGCCCTGAAGTATCTCAGTCCACATGCCACTTTCATCCCAGCTGACTCACCTTACTAGGGGGTGTGTGTATACTTGTTTTTCCTTCCGGTGACTTTGGTGGAGGAGAATGTATATCAGATAGATGCAGAGCACCCTAAAATCACAGTTGAAATTAAAACACATTTAAAAATGAAACACTAATATACTAACATACTAATTATGTAAGGTATTTTAGCATTCTTCCTTCATGAAAATATCCTTAATCTTCATCTAATTTTACCAAAGAAAATACATCATTCTCAGATTAAGAAACCCAAAATATAAAGAGCAAAATAAAAAAAAAAAAACAGATAATAGGAAATAATGAGACCAATCTTTTGCCTAAGGGCAGAGACAAGAAATGGAAGGAGGGGGAGAAGGGAGATTAAAAAAGAAAATAAGATGTGTTTGTACATGTACCAACTCCCCACAAGAAATGTGATAATTATGTATTACAAACATGTACTAAAAAAAACAAGAAAGCAAATAAATGATTCTGTAACAGTGAAGAGACTGAAAGATGATAATTCTTTCAGAAGAAATGATGCTGCTCAACAGAGATGAAAATGTGGACAATCAGGATACTAAAAGAGATGACAATAACTCACTGAAGGAGCTCAGCAAACAAGAGAATGCTTTTTATGACCTATATAGCTGGGAGCAATGGCAATTTTATTAAATATAATAAAAGCAATCAAAATCTCCATTAAAGCATGTGGGGCCCAGCAACCTGATGCTTATGGTAGTTTCAAAGTGTCATTCTCATAAAAAGCTCTAGTAACTGAGTTCAGCAGGTTAATCTACAACTAGTTTTGTTTTCTAAACTCAAAATTCAAAGGCAATTAAAATTTATGTTTTATTTCTTTACAATGGCAGGATTCCTTTCAAAGTAACACAATACTAGTAAATGATAGAGAAGCTAATTTTTAATGAATCTAACAGAAAACATACTCCTAAGTTCCTCCAAATGGAATAGGTAGCCCTAGCCCTCCGGATTCTCAAATGTGCACTTCTACGACTTAAAGTGTACACTCAACTAGACACCCAGGAGTATTCAGGGATGTGTTCACATCTATTAAACAGAGTATCTTTATGTAAAGGTGATGTGTATACACATATATCAGTTAATCACATGAGCAGGATTTCTAAAAAGAAAGGTTATGAGTAAGAAGAGTAAATGCTAATCAAGGAAGTGGAAGTTTGAAAATGTCTAGAAACTAAACAAAAATCAAAAGCTGTCTTAATTTTAGTTTTAAAAAGCTTTAAGTACAAAGAACTGTTAACTAGTCCTATCATTAACCCTTTTGTATTAATAATAAAAGCAACTAGTAATGTTTTGTAAGCCAAGAAGCATGGCTACACACATAAACTCATGCATATGAACACCCACCCAGACGAGGCGGGGCCTATTCCTCTCATTTTACAATGCTAAGTACTATGTCCAAGGCATCACTGAGGCGCTCTTAAACTGAACACTCTGAGGATCAATAAGCAAACTAAGTACACAATAGTGTCAGAATCTGTACTTTTCCATATTCATTAAAAGATCCATTTGTAAGATCTCAATGAATTTCATCTCATCTTACAAGAATATCTTCTTTTCATTGTAACTGTGATGGATATGTAGTCACTTGCAAGGTTAAATTAAGTAGGCAATAAATAAAAAACAGAAAAAGGTAACCAAAGATTATACTTACTTCCCCAGTGGCAGGCCCTTTTTCTTTCTGTTGACAGCGTCTTATCACTTCTAAGAGCAAGGGTCCACCCACAGTGCCTTCTGCTTCAATGATACCTAAGTCTCGGGCTAGATTCTCTCGCCCTTCAAGACCCTGAAACTAGAAAGTGATACAGGTGCATAAAATAAAATAATGTCCAAAGATTAAAGAAACTATTTTAGAAACTTAAAGAATCTCTAAACTCAACGAGGATTTCTAACAATGTTCATTTTTAAATTTTTAAATAATTTTTATAGCATAATGCCATAACACAGTATTTCTACAATACTACTACTCTACTAGCAAGATTCAAGTTACATGAAGTACCAGTACTGGTGCCCATCCTGACAGCTTTTATGATGGCATTTAAGATTAGATTTATAGATAACGATAAATAATAATCAATATGCAAGCAACTCTGCATAATCAAATTTCATTAGTTTTCAATTTAACATGTAGCAAGGGTTTCATAGGATAAAAAAAAAAATCATTACTCTTACTGTGCTGGCTTCAGGTTGAAAAACAGCCAAGGTAAAGTCAAGGTTAAAAAACTGAAGAAATTCTGCAACAAGACTTGCCACTAAACGACCTGTAAAGATCAAAAAAAGATGTACATGCAAATCTTAAATAATGCTAAATTTTTTAATTAACGCTATGAAATAAGACATAAATTAGTGAGGTAAAAGAAGTTTCTAAAGCTTTTAAGTTACAAATTTGTTCTCTTTGAGTAGTATAATTTAAGCAATGAAAATCCCAACTGTCCCATTTTTCCAGTCAGAAAATGTCTGTAAAACAATTTAACACTTCATAGATTTCAGTGTTTCACTATTTATATAGTATATAAAAATTCGGTCACCTAAAAAAAAGAGAAAAAATAGAACATCTTACCATCCTTTGTAGTTAAAAATTTTTTCAAGCTCTCATTGACTAAAGGAGTTTTGTTCTGTAAAAAAAAAATGAAACAGTTGTCAGATGATGTACATTATAGTTCAACTTTTGGACAAAAATATGTTTTATACTGTCATTCACAAAAATTGTGGTCTTACAAAACCCATCTCAAAACTGCTGATTACTACAGGACTTACTATGTGCTATTTAATAACTTCCCAAAGGTAATAAAACTCTATATATGAACTTTTATTTTTAATTTTTAAATGTTTTATTAAATTGCTTTTAAAGTGAGACCTTTAAATACTCATGTCATGCAATTAAATTTCATATAAGCATCTATTTCAAATAAATTTGATATTTCATCTTAAGCGTCCACAGTTTACAGCATATACACTTGCAATTCCCAGTTCATGAATAATATGTAAGACGATTTTATGTGGCTATAAGCCAATTTAGCTTTGTAATTATAGATTAAAAATATGGAAGAAAAATTCTTCAACATCAAACCTATGACTGTTGCTGAGACTGAGCCTAGTATCAAGAGCACATGATGGACATAATAAAGTTGACCACAACAATTACTGGTGTAGAGACAATGTCACATGCTGCTTTAGAGAACGCAAAATGGCACAGTCACTTTGGAAAGCAGATTGGTGGTACTTTTTTAAAAGTTCAAAGTGACCCAGTAGTTCTACCTGTTGGTATTTTCTCAAAAGAAATCACAGAATCAAGCAAAGACTTACACATGAAATGTTCACAGCAGCCTTACTTTCAATAAGCAAATCTATAAACAACCCAGAAATGTGTTTCAATAGGGAAAAGCTACACAAAGTGTCATGTATATCACTGATAGATTAATACAATGATCTATTAATCCTAAAATGGGGATTAACTGGAATAACAATATGTACTACATTACAAATGTCAAATATATTATGCTGAATAAAGGAAACCAGATCAAAAAGGAAACCATACTATATGATCCTCCTATGTTTGGTTAAATAAAGGAAATCATACTATATGATCCTCTATGTTTGGTTCTTAAAAATGCTCAGGATGCTAGAAGGTGGAGAAATGTTAACATTAAACAAGAAAATTTTTAGGAGTTATAGTTACACTCACTACCTTTACTGTAGTGATCGTTTCAGTTGCATACATATTCAAGTTTATCAAACTGCATATTTTAAATATATTGAGTTTATCAAATTGTTACAATAAAAGACAAGTACAGAAGAGATCATGAAGTTCCCTCATAAAGTAGTTTAGGAAATTTTAAAAACTGAGTAACTGAAATATTCAAAGAAAATGAAAGGTCATAGTCAGATAGATAAATAGCCAATCGAGGAATAATGTAAAGAAAGGACTTAAGGCAGACAGTGAAGACATCAGCAAAGAAAAGACCAGGGAGTGGGAAGGCAATCGAGTACTCTAGAAAATACAGGCAAACGGGCAGTAAAACATCCTTTAGAGAACTGCCAGACACAAGACAAGCGACAACTAAGCAGGTGGAAAAAACAGGTAGGCCTAGAAAATGCTCAGATTTCTTCCCTGACTGTGCCAGAAAGGGTAGTCTATTACACAATTTTACACTTGTGAAGTTCAGGAGGAACAGAGCTGAAGTTATTGGTAGTGTTAGGGTCACCGGGGGAAGAATACAAAATAGGCACCAAGAGTTTAGGTACAAATACAGGAAAAAGATTTTTAAAGAAATCAAGGAGTAAGATAAGTAAATAAGTATAGATAAGTAAATAAGTAAAGATAAGTAAATAAGTAGTAAAGATAGATAAGTAAATAAGTAAAATGAAAAAAGAAAATAAACAATAATCTCAAAAAAATCAAAGGAGGCCAGGGATATAGCTCAGTGGCACAGCACCTGCCTGACAAGTGCAAAGTCTTGAGTTTGATTCCTGGTACCAAAAAAAAAAAAAAAGTCAAGGGAGGTTTTCAAAAAGGAACGAGGAATTAATGGCGAATGCACAGTGATGAACCAAGACAGGTAAGAACCAAGACAGGTAAGATACTGAGGAGATTCCTGGCTGTAGCAAGAGAAATTTCTTTGGTGTCATTTAAAACTTCAGTGGATTAAGGGATGCTCGGCACCTAAAAAATGGTATAAAACATATCTACAAATAGGATAAAACATACACAATCTTGGCCAAAGATTTACCTTAGTGGCATAAGCACCTGATTGGCAAGTGCAAAGTCATGAGTTCAATCCCCAGTACCAAAAAAACACACAACAAAAAACACATGTTCTTTCAAAATCTGGCTGTGGGAAGGGGCGAAAAAAAAAGAACAGAAAACAAAGGCAGGACACAGGCAGAGGGAAAACAATTTTCTCCTTAAGAGGAATTTAAAAGTATTTTCATGCTCAACGAAGAACAGAAAGGGAAAGATCAAAGACAGAACAACTACAAAGATGAGAGTGTATGGAACGCAAAACCCAGACAAAATAAGGTAACCAGGGAAAGAATGAAGAATAAGGCACCAACAATACAGGTATAAATACAGAAAAAAGACTTTGCTAAATCAATCAAGAAATATACGCAAAAAGAAAAAAAGACAAGAGTTTAGACAAGATGGAACCTCTTTTACCAAAGCAAGAAGGAAAAGCATAAAGGTAAGCTTTTCCTGAGGTAAATGAGACTTAGGAGAAAGAGGACCAAAAGCTAGGACCTAGTTAGAATTAGGTTCAGAGTGAAAAGACACAAATGAGGTAGAAGACCAACTGAAGCAGAACAGGGGTCCATCAAGTTGTAACAGCACCAATTCACATGGTTACCTGACTTTTCTTGGGCAAGTTCTTACGCAGCAACAAGGAAAGGAGCCCAATGGATGAAATAAGCATAAAATTTCTTCCAAACCAAGAATGACTGACTGCAAAGAAAAATAGCCAAGGTTTCTGAGGGATGGACTGTGCAGTCTAGTCTAGCAACAACAAAAAGCAGCCTGATGTGTACACAAACAAGGAAAGAGCAAAAAGTTGAAGGGTTTTAGGAAAGTAAAGAGCAGCTACAGCCAGGCATGGTGGCACACACCTGTAAATCCCAGCACTCCAGAGGCCTAGGCAGGAGGATCCTTGCAAGTTTGAGACCAGCCTGGGCTACAAAGTGAGCTCAAGGCCAGCCTGAACTGCATGGGGAGACCCCGTCTCAAAAAAGATCAAAAAAATAAGAAAAAGAGCAGATACCTAGGTCAAAAAAAGTAGAAAGACAAGAAAGTGATCTATACTCACTGAGAAAAAGAGTTTAGAAATTGATGAAGTGATTCTTGTTGACAAGTTACAGGATATTCAAGATGTTTGGTAGAACTTAGGGTAGAGAGAAAAAGATAAATTAGTAATTTAAATTCAAAGATGTAGCTGGTCATTTTCACAAGAAAGTGGTATTTTAAAATTACTTGAGTAGTCATATAATATTAGGAAAAAGTCGAAGACTGTATAGCCCCTTCCTGGAAGGGATACACGGTACACATTAGCTCCTTAAATGTTAAAGTTAATTCATTTGCAATGAAACCATATTTTAAGGTTATCCCAAAATTTAAAAAGACACACAAAAAGAATTTTGGTTTTCTTCCAACAGTAAAGCAGTATAAGGCTTAACAGTTCAAATTATTCCCAGCTATACAATACTATAAGTTGTACTTTGAAATGTTTTTGAACCAATAAGGTAGCACTAATGAACACAGTCATATTAAAATTAAAATTTTTCATACCTCCACTTTTTCTTGCTCCTCTAGTGCTAAAAACACAGCTGCTCGGAGTTCAGCCTTTAAAAAATAAAAATTTTAAAAAGCGGTAAGAATTCAAGAATTCTTCCAAATCAACCCCAACCCAGAAGCGCACTGGACCCAGCCCCCCGCCCCTCATTGGCCCGCCAGGGTCCCGCAGGACCGCGGCGGGCTCAGGAGGCCTCGGCCGCGCCCCCCGGCTCCTCGCGGCCTCCTGGTCCTCGCCGCCCCAAGCCCCGCCGCACGCCGCACCTTGATGCGGTTCAGGGCGCCGCTGTTCTCCAGCGTCTGCACCAGCAGGTCCCGGAGTTCCGTGTCTTCCTCGGCAGCCACCGCGGCCGCCGTCGCAGCCATCTTGATTCTCCAAGACAACCGCCCAAGCCTCGTTAACAGCCAACAGCCGCGGCCGCGCTCACGCCGCGTCGGGGGGGCGGGGAGCGTACGTCGGGGGCGGGGCCTCGAGAGCCCGGGCACCGTGGTATTGGGGCCGGGTCGCGGTGGGCGGGGCGTGCGGGCTTGGAGTTGGCAGGGTGGGCGAGGCTTCGGGCCGTTAGTATCCTAGTTGTTAGAACCGTCACTAAGTCCAAGCTCTACGGGCTTTGGCCTGCGTAGCTCCCGCGAGCGGCGGACGGACCCTCTCAGGGCCTGCGACAGACAGAAGCTGGCACCTGCTGCGTGCTGGCCGGCTTGGTGGCGGGAGGGAGGGAGGGACGTCGGCTCCTGTGTGTATCTGGCTGTGTGTCTGTGTGTCGACTTTGCGTCTCTGTGCATGTGTGTCTGTGTCTAACTGTCTGGGATATGTCTCTGTGCCCCTCGTATGTGTCTGTTTATGCGTGTGTGGCTGGATCTGTGAGTGTTATCTGTGTATATTTTTGAGTGTGCACCTCTGTTTGTATGCACACTCAGAAAGCAGGCCTGTACCATATAGAGGTCGGGGAAGGGAGGTGCAGTGCGGTTGCCATACTGTTTACTCTCGAGATTGAGTCCTTGGGCTGGAACAGCTGGGAGAGAGCATCCGAGACTCCAGCATGTATGGGCACGCACTAGGGCTCTTGTAAGAAAAGAGCTTCAACCCTGGAGATTCTTATATTCAGTCTCTGAACTAGGCTCAAAAACCTCGTTTCTAATGCAAGAGATCAGCGAATTATAACTTGAGACATAAGTTGTGAGGTAAAGACATCTTCTGTGTTGATTATTCTCAAGTGGGAGTCTGGGAGAAGCTGAGATTGAGTCAGGTATCTATCTCCAGAGGAAAGATTCATTAAGAGATTAGTTTTTGAGATGGCCATAAGGATAAGTTAAATCAGATTGATATGAGAGAACCAAGGTCATTTTCAAACGTAAATGTGACCGGAAAGCATTGCCCATATAGCAACTATCTGATTGGAATCAACAGATCTGAGAAATCTGCGAGACCCATGGAACACGTGAACCTTAAACGAAAAGGAAAGATAAGGGATGAAGTTAGGCCCAGAAACTGGAAAACCTGACCCATTGACAAATAAGACCAAGATTAATGTCATTAGTAGAAGCAGAATTCATGAGCTGATTGGAGACAGCTAGTGATGCACTAATTTGGGAAATGAAGGATTTGAAGCATCTGCAGAATATTTAGATTTGGGTGTCCAAAAGACAACTTGAAACCTATTTAATCACCACTTTATATTGAATACCTACTATATTTAGGCCCCAAATTAGTAGAAGAGACAGAGATATGATCTATCTACCGGTCGGACAGCTGACAAGGGCTTCAGAAATGTTAAACTTCAACTTACTGTAAAAACAGAATGAGTTTCTGGGAAGGTGAAGGACAGGAACAGTCAGACAGCCAAGAGGGTGCTGTGACTGGCATTATGACTCGAATGTGAGCATACCCAAAATCTGTGTGTTGAAGCCATAACCCTCCAGAGTGACTATTTGAAGAGAGGGCCCACACAGGGATCATAAAGGTTAATTGAAGTCATAATCCAATGGTGCTTATAAGAAGAGGAAGAAAAATCAGAATTCACTTACTCTACCACATGAGGACACAGGGAGAGGCTGCTATCTGTAAGTCAAGAAAAGAGCCCTCAGCACAATCCAAAAATGCAGCACATAATCTTCATCTTTCTACCAGCCGGAGTGTGAGATACTAAGCTTCTGTCTTGTAAGCCATCTACTCTGCAGTATTGTGTTACAGCAGCCTGAGCAGATAGCTTCTTAAAGGAAGTAGCATTAAACTCTGTTATCAATGGTGTTTTTCTGGTGAAAGAGGAAGAAAGGGGCATTAGGAGTGCAATGACACAAGGCAGTTTGGTCAGCTCAGGGAGTGGCAGGAAAAAATGAACTCAAATAAACATTATGAAGGGCACCCACCAAAATAATGGATTGGAATTTCATTCTGAGATATGAAATGGTATGCTAAACATAATTGGAAAGCACTGTGGCATGAACACATTTGGGTTTAGTAAAAGCTTGCTAGAGCTAGTGGCACATGGGCAAATTGTATGCAATGAACTGAAGCAAAGAATTATTCCACCAATCCAAGAAGGACTAATAACGGCCTCAAATAAGTTACAGAAATGACCGTGGAATGAAGAAGGTGTATGTGAGAAATGGAAATAATGCAATAATGAGGCCCTCTAAAGGAGATATATAAATATACATACATGGATAATCCATTCACACATGAGAGGGGAATGGAGAGTGGGAGAGAAAAAAATAATTATAAAGAAGTGGCTCATAAGACCATCAAGGCTGGTAATCCAAGATCAGCAGGGTAAGTTGGCAAGCTAGAGACCAAGCTAGAGACAGTTCTTATAAAAGGCCAGAGTGAGTCGGTATTTCAGGCTGAGTCTGAAGCAGATAGAAAGCTGATGTCTTCTAAAGGCCAGAAGTGGGAAGGTTTTTTCCTTACTATGAAAAGTCTTGCCTTTTTATTTCACTAGACCTTCAACTGATTGGATGAGGTCTACTCACATGAAAGCAAGCTGCTTTACTAAAGTCTGCCAATTCTAACACATTTACACACAGCTAAAATAATGTTTCACTAAATATCTGAAACCTGGTGGCCCTGTCAAGTTTATATAAAACTAGCCATCACAAATATGTTCCAGTAACTTACAGCCTTTAAAACTAGATTCTAATAAGAATTAACTGAGAAGGATAGAATAGGGAAAGTGCCTTCTGACTGTCCACCTGAATTTTCTTGGAGGAGGATACTACTGTTCTCTAATTGTAAAAATTAAAAATATCTCAACTCATGGGGATGGTACTTTGGTCTATGTTCAACAATAGTTTCTCACTTTAGGTCAGCCACCCTAGTCTTGAAGGATTGGGCCAGCAGAGAATAAGATTCTCCATGGCTTATCAGTTTCCTTAAGTGTTTTTATAGACTGTGCAAAAGACAGCATGAAATGAACTCCACATTCCCTCTGTTATTCCTTAGCCCATTATCTTGACAAAGATTTATTGATGCTAGGTTATATGTAGTGGTTAAAATCATAGTCTTTGAAGCCACATTGCATGGGTTTGAATTCACTTGCTTGGTTATGTTGACCATAGCAAGTTAATTAACCTATCTGTATCTTAATTTCCCATTTTTAAACGAGGATAAAAATTATTTGGGGTGTGTGTGTGTGTGTGTGTCTGTGTGTCTGTCTGAATGTGTAGATTGGGAGATAGTATTTAATATCTGGATCACAGAAAACACAATAAAAGTATTAATTACTATTAGTTATTTTGAATGTACACTCTAATTTCATTTTCCCCATAATGGTCTGATTTTATTTTTTGGACATGTTACGTATGAGACCTAACACTCAGAAAAGGTAGTATGCCCACAGTCACATAGCTGAGATTAACCACCCAGTCCTATTTGGTTCCTAACTCATACACTTGCTTTATGTTTAGTTTCTTCTAGTGTTTATAGAATGTAAATGGTGTAGTTCACTCTCTGTTGCTATAACTGAATTCTATAAATGGGGTAATTTATAAAGGATAAAGTTTGATCAGCTCCTGGTCCTGGAGCCTGGGGAATCTAGTGTCAAGTTGCTAGCCTCTGGTGAGGGCCTTCTTGCTGCAGCACAATATGGCAGAGAAATCACATGCAAGCAAGCTTGCTTGTTCGGGGGTTCTTCTGATAAAGCACTAATGTCACTGTGGAGAACCATCCTTACAACTTCATCTTATCCCACTGACCACCTAAAGGCCCCACCTCTAAAAACTGTTAGCATATGAAATTGGGATTCTTTTTAACACGTGGTCTTTTAAGGGACAAGTTGAAACCATGCCAGTCATTTAATTAAACAAGTATGTAAAATAACAAAAGGATTGAATAAAGGAAATTGTGGAATGCAAGAGACAATAGATTGTTTCATCTTTCCAAAACATGTTCAAAGTCAAAGCCACCAGGGGGCAGTGTTCAACAGGCAAAGAGGGTTACCTCCACTGCTTTTCATTAGCTGCTAAGAAGCCACTTCCCATCGACCTATCTGCCTAAAAGCAGGAGACAAATTCACAAAGGTGTCTACTTCCTCTCCATATTCAATCACTGGAGAGAACACGCGCACCTCCTTAGCCTGGGATGTACTAGCCAGCTTACACTGGGTGCTCCCCTGGACCTGCTCTGCTCTTGGTAGTGAATATGTTTGCTTTTCTCCTCTTTGCCTGTCTCTTGACAGGCACCTTGATCAGAGAGAATCCAACACGGGAAGAAAGGAAACATTTTGTCTCCCTCACACCTTGGAATTGAATATCTAATATTATCAGTGGATTAACTGTCCGTTGAATTCATGTCTTCAAATTAGGTGGGTTTTGGTTGTTTTGTTTTCTTCATTGATGTTTTGTTTTTTGCAGATCTGAGGATTGAACCCAGGGCCTCACATACTAAGCAAGTGAACCACCGCTGAGCTACTCCTGAAACCCCTGCACATTCTTAAATACTAACGTCCTTAAGGGCCATTACAAAATTAAACTCTAAAAGTTTAGATTTTGTTTTCTTTAAGTGATACGGGACTTCTCTAAACTTCCTCCTTCTGAACAAATAACCTCTCCTCAGCCCAAATGAAGTGAGGGGATATGCAGATTGTAGCCCCCAGAAGGTCAGGAGCCCATTTCCTTTGCACAGGAAAGGGAGAGATGGAGCTAAGAATGGCTGGGAGCAAAGCAAGCTTGGAGATGCACATTGTCTCATAATATTCCCACTCCCCCTTTTATCCTTGCTATTAAAATCATTACACAACTCTACATAGGAATTGGAGCCCAGAAAAATGAGGCCCCCTTAGAGGTACCTTTGCATGAAGCTTTTTACTTTTCACTAAAATAAATGGGCTCCTTTGATGGGTGAGCAGTGAACAAATGGACCTGAGCAAATGGACCTAAGTGGTTCCTAATACTAACAATATGAAAGTGGGTTTCTTCTGCTCCACTGTTTCTCTGAGAAACTTGTTATTTATTTCACACCGC